GAGAGGAGGGTGAGAGGGAGGGTGAGAGAGGGTGGGAGAGAGGAGGGTGAGAGGGAGGGGAAAGGAAGGGAGAGAGAAGGGAGGAAACGCCGCATCGCCTCCTTGTAGACGACCATGGTGGCCTGCACCAGCATCTACCAACGACAGAGATAGAGAGAGAGGGTGAGAGAGGGTGGGAGAGAGGAGGGTGAGAGGGAGGGGAAAGGAAGGGAGAGAGAAGGGAGGAAACGCCGCATCGCCTCCTTGTAGACGACCATGGTGGCCTGCACCAGCATCCATCTACGACAGAGATAGATAGAGAGGGTGAGAGAGGGTGGGAGAGAGGAGGGTGAGAGGGAGGGGAGAGGAAGGGAGAGAGAAGGGAGGAGAGATAGAGAGAGAGGGTGAGAGAGGGTAGGAGAAAGAGAGAGAGAGAGAGGAGAGGGAGGGGAGGGGAGGGATGAAGGGGAGAGGAATCGCCAATGATGAATATATGAAACAAGTGTGACACAGTAGTCGGTAGTTTGACACTATTACGACTGCTATGACAATAGTATCGTCAACACAACTGTGAATTCTGTTAGTTGTGCATTTTACAGACGCACAACACGTGATAGATCAGGTGATCAACGTTTGTTTGCTGGCAGCAGCAGCAGCAGCAGCGGCGGCGGTGGCGGCGGCAGCGGACACATACCTTCCCCAATCGCTGGAACGCGGAATCGAAACCCTTGGCAAAGTGCCAATCGACGATCGTTCCGAAGATGCGAGTCATCGTGTCGTCGCTAAACTCGTCGATAGAAACGACGTTCAGATGTCGAGTGAAGCGACTCGTGATCTCATTGCGGCCTCCACCAGGGGGCCCCATCGCCGACACGAACAGGATGTCGGTTAACTCCAGCTTGGACGTGTCCTTGCGGTCGTACCAGTGTCCGTGGTCGATCCACTGCAGCAGCAGAACAAGCAGCGTTGGTCGTGGTTTGATCGTGTAATGGTGGGGGTCGATTATATTTACTATAATCACGACCCACTAATGCTCCACTTAATAACTCAATTTAATACTCTACTCACCCTACTATATTAGATTTTTCAGAAAAAAATAAAATATGTTTAATATTAAATAAATAATGATATAATTAAAGGTTATTTAGGTTATTCGGTTATTTAGCGTTGCTATGATTTATGTGATGCAAATATGTTCCTCGTTGTTTGAAATTATTCCCTTGAACTAAAATAAGGTTCAAAATGCATTCAGAAATTGCCAAATCTCTGTGATTAAGAAACAAATCTCTCAGTATGCAGTCATATACACACACACGCACGTACACGCACGCACGCATGCACTCACGCACACGCACGCACGCACGCACGCACGCACGCACACACGCACCATGTACATAACTCTATACCTGTCTGAGTCGCTCTATGGGAGGCTGAGCTCCATACTTCTCCACGCACTCACGCACGCACGCACGCACGCACCATGTACATAACTCTATACCTGTCTGAGTAGTTCTATGGGAGGCTGAGCTCCATACTTCTCCACGCACTCACGCACGCACGCACGCACGCACCATGTACATAACTCTATACCTGTCTGAGTAGCTCTATGGGAGGCTGAGCTCCATACTTCTCCACGCACTCACGCACGCACGCACGCACACACGCACGCACCATGTACATAACTCTATACCTGTCTGAGTAGCTCTATGGGAGGCTGAGCTCCA